TAGTCCTTTGTCATCGCCCATTGTTTCAAGGAATGTGACACGTTGAAGGATTAAGAGCTAGATTTATGGGAATAATATATTATACGAGACACTTTTTCCGGGAGATTATTAGAGAAAGTTTTTTCATGTATATGGTGCGAGAAGTGCATATTGTACGGTAAGCTGAAGGTGGTTTACTTCTTTTAGTTCTCTTTCTCTACTCTAGTAGAAAAAATGCCCGATTTTACTATTGATTTGCGGGATCTAAAATCTTGATCCAGATCATAATTTCCTAGTAATAGAGTAATATCTCAGATGGAGGTATGAGACAATGAAATGCTGAGAAGAGAGAAAAGCATTAGAATTTCGTAAGCTTGATTACACAAAACCATTTCCCTGAAATTCTTGAAGAAAACCCACCAACGATGTACTTTAAAAAGATCAGTTTTTGGCAAATATACAGCATGGACCAGAAAGATGTACGAATTTGAAAACCGCAATGCTAATCAGTAGCTTGGTGCTCGGAAATTTAGTCGCCATGGAGCGTTTCGCCGGTGAGCGGCGTGCGTTCTGTGTTAAGCGGCCTACACACCTTGATGCCTGCTGCGATGCAGACATCGACTCTTATGTTTCATGACGCGAGTAGCAGTATGTGTAGTACTGAATCTCGTTTTCGGCATCAATTGTGGCTTGCAACGAGTCTTGGATCCCATTTTGGTCGGCGAGCCACGACGCCGAGTCGGTGATACTGATGCAAGTTTCAGCCTGGATATTATTGCGTCAATGCCAAGTCGATATTCATCTTCTCGTGTCATTTTAGAGGTTTGTTTGTTGTTTGCCTGTGAGTGTAAATTCTATGATGGAAGCTGATCGACAATTCTGGGAAAAGTTCATAAACATTTATCATCTACATACGTGTCTTTGGAACACAAAGGCTGAAAAGTATTCAGACAGAAGCATAAGAAACCTAGGAAGTTTTCGGAATAACTTCACCCTTCTGTTTTTGTATTGCATGAAACATCGAGTCGATTCAGGCATCGCAGCATACATTTAAATTTAGTCGCCATGGAGCGTTTCGCCGTTGAGCGGCGTGCGTTCTGTGTTAAGCGGCCTACACACCTTGATGTCTGCTATGATGCAGGTATCGACTCTTACGTTTCATGACGCAAGTAACAGTATGTGTAGTACTGAATCTCGTTTTCGGCATCAATTGTGGCTTGCAACGATGCAGAGTCTTGGATCCCATTTTGGTCGGCGAGCCACGACGCCGAGTCAGTGATACTGATGCAAGTTTCAGCGTGTATAGGATTGCGTCGATGCCAAGTCGATATTCATCTTCTCGTGTCATTTTAGAGGTTTGTTTGTTGTTTGTCTGTGAGTGTAAATTCTATGATGGAAGCTGATCGACAATTTTGGGAAAAGATCATAAACATTTATCATCTACATACGTGTCTTTGGAACACAAAGGCTGAAGAGTATTCAGACAGAAGTATAAGAAACTTAGGTAGCTTTCGAAATAACTTCACCCTTCTGTTTTTGTATTGCATGAAACATCGAGTCGATTCAGGCATCGCAGCATACATTTAAATTTAGTCGCCATGGAGCGTTTCGCCGGTGAGCGGCCTGCGTTCTGTGTTAAGCGGCCTACACACCTTGATATCTGCTGCGATGCAGGTATCGACTCTTACGTTCCATGACGCAAGTAACAGTGTGTGCAGTATTGAATCTCGTATTCGGTATCAGTTGTGGCTTGCAGCGATGCAGAGTCTTGGATCCCATTTTGGTCGGCGAGCCACGACGCCGAATCGGTGATACTGATGCAAGTTTCAGCGTGTATATTATTGCGTCAATGCCAAGTCGATATTCATCTTCTCGTGTCATTTTAGAGGCCCGTTTGTTGTTTGTCTGTGTGAGTAAATTCTATGATGAAAACTGATAGACAATTTTGCGAAAAGTTCATCTACATACGTGTCTTTGGAACACAAAGGCTGAAGAGTATTCAGACAGAAGCATAAGAAACCTTGGTAGTTTTCGAAATAACTTCACCCTTCTGTTTTTGTGTTGCATGAAACGTCGAGTCGATTCAGGCATCGCAGCATACATTTAAATTTAGTCGCCATGGAGCGTTTCGCCGGTGAGCGGCGTGCGCTCTGTGTTAAGCGGCCTACACACCTTGATGCCTGCTGCGATGCAGACATCGACTCTTATGTTTCATGACGCGAGTAGCAGTATGTGTAGTACTGAATCTCATTTTCGGCATCAATTGTGGCTTGCAACGATGCTGAGTCTTGGATCCCATTTTGGTCGGCGAGCCACGACGCCGAGTCGGTGATACTGATGCAAGTTTCAGCCTGTATATTATTGCGTCAATGCCAAGTCGATATTCATCTTCTCGCGTCATTTTAGAGGTTTGTTTGTTGTTTGTCTGGGTGCGTAAATTCCATGATGGAAGCTGATCGACAATTTTGGGAAAAGTTCATAAACATTTATCATCTACATACGTGTCTTTGGAACACAAAGGCTGAAGAGTATTCAGACAGAAGTATAAGAAACCTAGGTAGTTTTCGAAATAACTTCATCCTTCTGATTTTGTGTTGCATGAAACATCGAGTCGATGCAGGCATCGCAGCATACATCAAGTTTGTAGGCCGCTTTAAGGCTTATTACAATAAATAATACCTTGAAAAAACACGCTTTTATAGCTAACCGAACCAAAAAGTAGAAAATAATTTTTAATTACAAAGAGTTTATGTTACAGTAGTAGATAGTCGAACAATCAATCATAATAAATAACCTCAAAATAAAATTATAATAAAATTTAAGTTATTAACAGAATAATTCAACTCAGAGTGAAACGCGTTTGAAGCCTACCATAGCAGGACCTGGTTACGACAAGATGGCGCAACATCCCATACCGCCAACGAGCAGTTGTAAACGAAATGTTTAGAGTAAAAGTGATATCGCGACCAGGGCACGTTCCGTGGCCTCCCCAGAGCCCGGATCTCACGGCAATGGATTTTTCTCTCTGGGGATACATCGAGAACCGCGTTTACTCCAATAAACCGACGACGATTGCTCAGCTCAAGCATAACATTGCCGAGGAGTTTTCACAAATTTGAAGTCAAGATTCGAGAAGTGTGTACGTCTTGATTGTTCACATCTAAATGATGTTTAATAAGTAAAATTCCCATGTCTATTGTATTAAAAATATAAAGTATCTTCCCTATGCTTTGAAGTTTTTTTATGATTTTTTAAAATCCGCTCAACTTGATTGTCCACCCTATATTATTGTTAATTGGATAAGCCTAGGCTGCTAGGTCTTAAATAGGGCTCAAGGTAAGTCCAGACTCAAGAGTAAGCCTGAAGTAAGTCAAAATATACTAAGTGACATATAAATCCGAACACCCAGTTTAAATGGTTTTATTTTAATAAAATTTTGTATAAGTACTTAATGAAGCATAATAAGTAAATGATAAAATTTTCAAAATGATTGCACTGCTTTAAATCCCTTTGACCTTTAATAATGTGTGGATGCACCCTGATGTGCTACGCATTCTCCAACGCGTCTAGGCATGCTTCTGATCAGGTGGTCAATGTCCTCCTGTGGTATCTCATTCCAAGCAACCACCAACTCCTCTCGAAGTGCTTCTAGAGTCTGAGGAGGACGTTACAAATTGAGCAATCCCCTACCCATCATATCCCACACGTGCTCAATTGGGGATAAGTCGGGAGATCTTGGTGGCCATGGTAACAATGTGACATCATTATGTTGAAAGAAGTCTATTGTGACTCTTGCAACATGTGGTCGGGCATTATCTTGTTGGAACGTTGGATCTGCCAGGGTGTCAAGATAGGGTAAAAAATGGGATTCCAGAACTCCGTGGATATAACGCTGCACATTCATGTTACCTCTGATGAAGATTAAAGGTGACCTGGAACCATAAGCTATAGCACCCCAAACCATAACTCCAAAAGTGTGATGAACATGTCTTTCAACAAAAAACTGTGGATTCCTCCTTTCACCACGTGGCCTTCTAACCCTGGAACGACCATCGTGCATGCCTAAACAAAATCGAGACTCGTCACTAAAGACAATACTGTTCCATTCCTGATCCCAGAGTGACCGTTGTCTGCACCACTCAAGGTGATTACGTCGGTGTTCTCGAGTTAAAGGGAGGACCCAGTGTGGACTCAAAATATGCGACCTAAATTACCTCAGCGACTTGGCAGAACCTCACAGATATAACTACATGATTTATTTCAATGCCTCAAATTAGTATGGAATTATAGGCTTCAAATGAAAAGTATTCCACACTCACCAACTTTACTCTACTCAATCAGTTTTGCCTAATTAAATACACACATAATTATATCTAGCACATGCGCTCCTGATTTACGTCGTTAGATAAAAAAAGTAAATGTGTCGTCTCTGGAATGACTAGAAGAGGAGTAAGAGGAAGTGAACGGAAATTTATCCGCCAGGTAAAAAATGCTAGAGATGGAAATGGGCATAAATATGCCTAGAGATGGCCGAACAATTCTAGCGCATTTTGCAATCTCGACCAAAGTTCAAAATCAGCATCCTAAATTACCCCAAAGCACCAAGTTCACTTGCTGTGAAAATGGAAATTTTTCTTCGAGGCATTTGAAGAAAGAAAAAATCTGTTACCTGGCTGTGTGCGTAGATCCCGTACCGGATGCCAGTTTGGTGCGGAGACCTACGGGTGCCCATTTTCTATTGTGAATCGATACCCAAAGGATTCAGAAATTTGTGATGGCCATATTCAAATCTAGCGCTACAAATTACCTGGATGTACAAACTCGAAACTGTGGCATCTAGGACGTAAAAAAATTTACCGGCGATATCTTTTTCAATTCCACGGCAATTGCAATGAACTCAAACCTCGTATCAACAAGCCATACAGGAAGAAAACATGGAGTGAGATACGTATCTTTTGTAGGGTTCGCTATAAACCGAATTAAACTAGAAAAACAGGATGTGTAATTATAAAACAATGTAGCGTACACGTTGTAATAAGCAATGAGTTTATGTGTAGGATAACGACCATTCTGGTTCATTAGAACAATCTTTCAACAGTGTCAGGTCACGAAATCGTAAAAATCGTTACTGTAACCTGTTATTCTACCGACAACAGTAAGTAGATGTTAATATTACTTCGTGCTTTTTGTATTTAAAAATGCTTAACCTAAACAAAAGATTATTAGCGTATGTACTGTAATGACAGTTGCATGGACGCTCACATGGAGGGGGGTCAGCATGGTTCACCCCCTGAAAACCCGGTTGACTTAAAATCTGCTGATTCATGTGAACATTTGCTACCTCCTGCTATTGGAATTTCGTAAATTATTGTAGCGTTTTTCTGTGTTCTTCTGGGTGTGGATTAAAAACACTCAATCCACAAGAAGAAATGCACTATTTTATTTAAAACACAACACAACTAACTTTAACTTAACTAGCTAGAACATTTATGTACACCAGGATTTATGTCTGACTACTTATTTACGAATCATTATGTCGCGCTTATGCATTTCTCATCGCAGGTAGTCGTTTCCCGACAGATGTCGCTAGGAGTATCGCACCGGAGGAGAGTCCCTGGCGCGGTTCCCAACAGATGTCGCTAGTAGTATCACTCACTCTTGTTACATTATGATAAAGTATAAACTGTTGCCCACTTGCCGATATCTAACCCCGCGTGGGAATAACTAAAGGCGTCCTACAATTGAGGGAACGACTGACAATACGACCCTAAAAGAACCTAGGAACGCTATTGATTTGTTAGTGATTAATAAGTTTCATATTCCAGGGGCGCCAACTTAATCTCCGTAACAGGGAGCTAAATAAACTTAACCAACCATGTTTTTTGTTTTAAATATTGCAATAAAAACAAATATTTTATTTTTGAAAAATTAAATCTATTTCTGTATTATAATTTTCAAACTTCGATGGCATTACTTAACTTTTACATTTATCAACTTTCCACTATATTCACACCTTTGATATTGAGAGGACCTAGGAACGCTATTACTTTGTTAGTAATTAATAAGTTTCATATTCCAGGGGCCACAACTTAATCTCCGTAACAGGGAGCTCAATAAACTTAACTAACAATGTTTTTTGTTTTATATATTGCAATGAAAACAAATATTTTATTTTTGAAAAATAAAAGCTACTTCTGAATTATAATTTTCAAACTTCGATGGCATTACCTAACTTTTACATTTATAAACTTTCCACTATATTCACGCCTTTGATATTGAGAGGACCTAGGAACGCTATCACTTTGTTAGTAATTAATAAGTTTCATATTCCAGGGGCCCCAACTTAATCTCCGTAACAGGGAGCTCAATAAACTTAACTAACAATGTTTTTTGTTTTAAATATTGCAATAAAAACAAATATTTTATTTTTGAAAAATAAAAGCTACTTCTGAATTATAATTTTCAAACTTCGATGGCATTACTTAACTTTTACATTTATAAACTTTCCACTATATTCACACCTTTGATATTGAGAGGACCTAGGAACGCTATTACTTTGTTAGTAATTAATAAGTTTCATATCCCAGGGGCCCCAACTTAGTCTCCGTAACAGGGAGCTTAATAAACTTAATTAACCATGCTTTTTGTTTTAAATATTGCAATAAAAACAAATATTTTATTTTTGAAAAATAAAAGCTACTTCTGTATTATGATTCTCAAACTCCGATGACATTACTTAACTTTCACATTTATAAACTTTCCACTATATTCACAACTTTGATATTGAGAGGACCTAGGAACGCTATTACTTTGTTAGTAATTAATAAGTTTCATATTCCAGGGGCCCCAACTTAATCTCCGTAACAGGGAGCTTAATAAATTTAACTAACCATGTTTTTTGTTTTAAATATTGCAATAAAAACAAATATTTTATTTTTGAAAAATAAAAGCTACTTCTGTATTATAATTTTCAAACTTCGATGGCATTACTTAACTTTTACTTTTATAAACTTTCCACTATATTCACACCTTTGATATTGAGAGGACCTAGGAACGCTATTACTTTGTTAGTAATTAATAAGTTTCATATTCCAGGGGCCCCAACTTAATCTCCGTAACAGGGAGCTTAATAAACTTAACTAGCCATATTTTGTGTTTTAAATATTGCAATAAAAACAAATATTTTATTTTTGAAAAATAAAAGCTACTTCTGTATTATAATTTTCAAACTTCGAGTGCATTACCTAACTTTTACATTTATAAACTTTCCACTATATTCACACCTTTGATATTGAGAGGACCTAGGAACGCTATTACTTTGTTAGTAATTAATAAGTTTCATATTCCAGGGGCCCCAACTTAATCTCCGTAACAGGGAGCTTAATAAACTTAATTAACCATATTTTTTGTTTTAAATATTGCAATAATAACAAATATTCTATTTTTGAAAAATTAAAGCTACTCCTGTATTATAATTTTCAAACTTCGATGGCATTACTTAACTTTTACATTTATAAACTTTCCACTATATTCACACCTTTGATATTGAGAGGACCTAGGAACGCTATTACTTTGTTAGTAATTAATAAGTTTCATATTCCAGGGGCCCCAACTTAATCTCCGTAACAGGGAGCTTAATAAACTTAATAAACCATGTTTTTTGCTTTAAATATTGCAATAAAAACAAATATTTTATTTTTGAAAAATTAAAGCTACTCCTTCCTGTATTATGATTTTCAAACTCCGTTGACATTACTTAACTTTCACATATATAAACTTTCCACTATATTCACAACTTTGATACTAAAAGGACCTAGGAACGCTATTAATTTGTTAGTAATTAATAAGTTTCATATTCCAGGCAACCCAGCTTAATCTCCGTAACAGGGAGTAATAAGCTTAATAGTTTATTAACGCTGAGGCAGATTAATGTTTGCTCTACATTTAACCAACGAAATTGCATTTTGGTAGAGCGAGCCTGTTTTTACAGAAAATTCGACGCTTCGCAGTGCAAATGCAGAGTAAATATAGTACATTATATGCCTAGATTGAGAAACTAGCCATTATTTATTTAAGAAATTGGGGACATCAAACTAAGCTGTAAGCGCTGTTACTAGAAAGTTTTGAAATCCAAATATAAATTGACCACGCCTTTTTATTTCCTAATAATTTTTGTTTGAACAACGAATTCATGGCTTACTAAGGAAATATATGTCTAAATTAGGACTGAAAAGTCGATTTAAGTGCACAAAATTAAAAAATATAACGTCCATATAAAAAACAAAGTTGCTGATGGAAGTCGCCGTTTTGGAACATTTTTTTTTTAATGGAGTAGGGGTCGACTGTTACCTCATTTTAAAAGCTACTTATGAGTACTTTATAATCTTCTTCTTCCTCTTCCTACTTTATTAATAGGATCGTGCCTGTTTTACTTCGGTTTTTAGCCTCAATTCATGTTGTCTGACCATTTTTCCCTCGGTCGTCCCATTGATCTTCTTCCATTTGGCGATTCGTCTCTTGCTATTCGTACTGTTCTATTTTCTGTCATTCTTACTATGTGTTGATTCCATTCTATTTTTCTTCTTTTGGTCCACAGGTTATTTCCTCTATACCACATCTCGCTGGTATTTCATCACTTCTTACTCTGTCTTATTGTTGATTTATATATCCTAGTTTTCGTTTCCGTCGTGAGGTATTTGTTTCTCCAGATTGTATTGTTGAGACATCCTCCTGCTCTGTTCACAATGTTCACTTGTGTTTTTACTTCTTCCACTTTTCCATAGCTTAACAGTTTGATTCCCAAGTATTCCGTTTCCATCACTTGTTCTATTGTTTTGTTATTTACGACCAGTTTACATCGTCTCGGCTCCGCTGATATCACTATCGATTTAGTTTTCTGTGTTGAAATCGTCAAGTTGTAGGTATATGAGCGCCGAATCTTCGAATTCTTTAATTAATCTTTGTAGGTCATCTTCATTTTCGGCTATTATTATGGCATCGTCGGCGTAGCATATTATCTGCATTTCCTTTTCTCCCATTCTATATCCCCTTCTTTTTTAACTTTCTTTATGATTTCATCCATTATCAGATTAAATATTAGTGGGCTCAGCAAATCTCCTTGTCTAATGCCAGTTTCATACTTGATAGGTTGCGAGAGTTTTCCTTTACATCTTACCATAGCTATGTTATCTATATATATATATATATATATATATATAAAGGGAAAATTATCATGCGGAGAAAGGTATATAACAAAAATAGGAAAATAATGGGCAAAATCCGCAAAAAGGAGGAAAGTGGATTCGAGCAGAAAATAGGATAGGTAACCCGAGCGATACGTATTTCTGCTGGTTGGCTTCATCAGGCCCGAAATGAATGCACATATGCAACTACAAAAGTAGAGACACATGCCCATACATCCGGATACGGGTGTAACCTGAGGAAACAAAGTTGCAGAGGAAAAAAGACACACATCCTATTTTCTGCTCGAATCCACTTTCCTCCTTTTTGCGGATTTTGCCCATTATTTTCCTACTTGTTGTTTATATATATATATATATATATATATATATATATATATATATATATATATAAAGTACCCAACAAAAGGCGTAAGCTTTAATTTTTCACCTAACTGGTCTAGACGACAATGACCACGTCTCAATATATATATATATATATATATATGTGTTCTCAATAGTTTTTACTCTATCAAACGCTTTCTTCAAATCTATCAGGCACATATATGCTGGTTTGTTGTATTCCAGCGACTTTTCTTTTATTTGTCTTATTACAAAAACTGCATCCGTGCATGATCTTCCTGTCCGGAATCCTTGTTGTTCCTCTTGCAGAGTTGTTCGCTCGTTTATTTACTCAGGGTCATAAAGTAGCTTTAAAATGCGGTATCATTCAATCCCCATAAAATAATGTTCCAAAATATCTCCCGTTCGCCATTTTGAAATCTTTAACTGTCACTTCTACGCTAAAACAGTTCAGTTTCGTTACTCAAAACTTCAGCTTTCTAACCTGACCTGTATGCATTATTCTAAGCAAAAAAGTTCACTATAACTTATGACCGAAAATCAATCGTTTTCGAGGAAAGTGAATCGTAAATAATTACATTTTCTCAAACATTTGGCAACGCTGCAACGTAAC